TATTTCAATTGCTTGATCCACACAAAAGGGTTTTTTGTATGTAATGCATGAAGATGTTTGCATGTACATATACTAGTTTATTATTCCTAAAACGGCTTAAAAATTTATATCATTCTTTTTTACTTACAACCCGTAATAAAGTGCAATGATCACAATAATGTGAAAAGACGATGAAATCTCGATTAAAATGACATCATCTCAATTTTATCGTGACAATTAAATGTTTGGGAAAATTGGGAAATCTTCAATTTTCTAATATCAATTTCTTATATACACGGAAAGAAGTTAGGGAAATTAAGTGATAATGTCAGGATGCTGTTCTTTATAAATATTGTTATTTTTTAAGTTTTAAATTAAGTTTAATATATATATATGTATATATATATATATATATATATATATATATACATATATGTACATGTATCATAAGAAATAAATTTATATCTAGATAGTATGGCAATGTGCTTTATCTTTTAAAAACAGGTAATTTTTTTGTATTGATGCTTAATTTTTACACTGGATATAAATAGCGTACGCAAGTAAGACAAAGTATATAATGTTCAGTTCCATGCATGCATAAAATTCATTAACATTTCTGTTGTAGGTGTAAAACAACATGTGTTCGTATAGATGCAGGCTAGCATTTATTTGACGTCGGGGTGGAGGGGGAATTTATTAGATGCAAGTGAGTATCAAGTACTTATTAAATTGATTAGCAAGTTAATACGTGATAATACGGTCCTGTTTTAATCAGGGGGTTGCGTTGAATCTGAAAGTAACGGCACGCAGTTTCGTCGAAGCTAGGATATATATGTAAAATCACATAAGAAAATAATTGAAGCACCAAGATCCTGCTATGACCGTGCATTGGCCTTCCTTATTCGTTATGTGTAAAACATTTATATGTTCGTAATAGATATATATGTATATAACATGTGAATATTTCATAAAGACGTAAAATTGTATATAAAGTTAAATTAAATATAATTTACAAAACAGGAAAGAAGAAGGCAATTTATCTATTTTATTGTAGACTTGTAATAAAGTTGTCTATAATATAATGTTAGTTTTAAATTTTAAGTACATATATATATATATATATATATATTAATAACATTCACATAGCAAAATGATCTTCTGGATTCGCTTGCACGTTATTTTATAAAATGAAATTTACTTATTATGAAAAAAAAAATTACATATAGCTATAAAATGTTAAATAAATAAAATTACGTGATTCTGATTTAAATAAATATTAATTAAGACAAATAAATGTATTTCTACGCATGTTGCTTAAATCAAAGCTTCAATAAAGCTCCAATAAATTTTTTTTATCAAACCTGAGAAATTTATCGTACCATTTTATTGTGCAATTAACAATATTCTATCACATACTGTTATGTTAATAAATATTCAAGAAGACACAAAAAGTTGATTATTTAATAACACTGTATTACGATACAGTATGATTTGTTTTGAATGTTCGCGTATTACTTACACGGCTTTTAATTCTGCACTGTTATCTGTAACTATTTGTCCACAAATGTTTCCGAGTAACATATACATGTGTAAATCAAAATCATGTGAATCAAAAAGAGCATAACTGATACAAATAATTCGGAAAGATTATTTAATCGTGTCATTGCATTACGCAGCTGCAAAATATTACACGAAAGATAAATCAGTTATACCGCTATATGTATAACACACATACTCTGTGCATAGATGTTTAAAAAAAATGTATATTCTTTTACTTGGACTAACATCAGAATATTATTTTCAAAATCTTTTTATTAAAGATTGTTTTAGTTTAATGAAGATATGTCAATAATTTTCATGCAATTCGAAATATGTGCATACAAATAAATTTTCAAAAATATACATTAGGCTATGTGCAATTATGTTTTTAAAAATACATTAAAAAGTTTTTTTTTATTATACATATGTGTAATAAATATGTTACTTACTCGAAAAATGACGCAACTTAAAGAAACGACGCCAAGTACAAGATAAGGTATAAATCACATGTGAGCAATTAAGTAAGCCTTTAATTAATAACAAAACATTTGTTCAGTCATTTTAAATATGTTATCGTAAAAATTTAACGAATTTATGTGTGCAATATCTTACTTATTGTTACTTATATCAAATAAAATTTATCATTTTACATAATAACAAATAAAATAGATAAAATTTATCATTTTACTTAATAACAAATAGAGAAATTAACTGTATAAGTTTTTATGGATGAACTACACGACAAATGTTCTGCAGATACATTAAATAAATTCTACGAGGAGTAGGAATTTGCAGCGTATTTTCAGTCACAGTATTTTGAATTAAATTGCTGCAAGCAGAATATACGTGTGTGAATTTATACAAAGTCAACGATTTAAAATAATTTCACTAATAAAATTGTTGCGCATATCCATCTTGCAATTTTTAATGTTGCGCAACAGTGTCCCTCAATCATACTGAAGGTTGAATTAGTCGTGATTATTGATCAAATTCCAACCGATGATGTTATAATCTCAAATATTAAATATAAAGGATAATACCGTTTTTCGAATATTAAACAATTCAAAGGATAATACTGTTTTTCGTCAATGAAGAGTTCATAACGTATTTTTACATTACGTGATCGAGATTTATTCAATAGCGCGACTGCATCAAGTATAATAGGTATAAATTTGATAATTATAAAGTAAAAATACTGCAATAAGCTACAACTAGAAATGTCAACGTGATAATAAAACATAATTCTTTTGTAACAGATTAAATATTATAATAAAGAGGATCAGCGCATTTCTATCCACGAATATATTACCGCACAAAATTTATCTAGAGATAATATATGAATACGACCAATTGTTAGGTTATGTGAGTCTTTAAAAAATTTTGTATCGCAAATACAAGTAATTTTTGTGTTGTTAACGGAGATAAATATCATATTATATTACAAAAATTTATCCACTAAGTATAAAATGTTAAATTTAGAGTTATTTGTGAAAAAGTCATTTATGCTTGTGCACAAAAGCGTACCTAGAGGGATCTCTTGCATTCTTGGCAAAGAACTATATATAATAATGCTGCTCAGGAAAAAATTATTTTGTTGTTACACATTGTTTGACAGCCACATTGTTTGACTAAAAATTACTGTTATAATAAAATTAAATATTGTAGATTTAGTTGTGAATAATTTAATTTATAATTTATAATTTAATTGATTAAATGTTCCGTGTAATATAATGTAAATAATAAAATACATAAATCAATTGTACACTTGAAGCAATAAATCAATATACACTATAAGCATAAATTAATAAGTAATCAATTATATATTATAAATATAAAACAGTTACATAATATAATACATAAATTAAATGTATTAACTTTGTCCAGTATTAATCCTGAATAAAACTTACTTTAGTTGTTACTAATCTTATTTATATTTTTTACTCAAGTAACTTCTTTTTACTATTTCTATTCATTTTTATTTTGAAAAAAATAATAGATGACCTAGATAGACTTACCTTTCATTTTTTTGAGTTTGGAAAATAGTACTTTAGTATACGTACGTTAAACGCGCGTATTGAGTATGATTGGGGAACAATATATAATTTAATATGATTTAATAAAAAATTTCATTTTATTGAATTAAAAAGCAGTGTAAAAGCAAAAGTAAAATTCATTAATCTCTTCTGCATTGTATGGAATAATGTTACGACCGTAAATATTAAAAAATTAAATATTATGTCATATAAAAAAGAAGAGAAAAAGATAATACATTTATTTATTGAACTTAAAATAAAATTCTTCTTAATGTAGGTACTGTTAATGTTACGTTTAAATACACGCAACTTCCGTAAAGTAAAGCTAATCTGTTTGGTTTGCATCTTATTTATAAATAAATTTATTCCTTTAACATGGACGTGCTATTGTACATATTTTAGCATTAACTTTATTCTAATAAGGGCAAGTTTTGTTTTTATAAAATCGTATATAATCCCTTGCATAAGATATAAAATATTACTTGATAAAATTGTTTATAATTTTTGTATTTCATTAGTGTGATGTATTCATTAGTTACAGTGCAAGAAATCCACTTTAACTACAGATATTTACCGTAATGCAATAATGAGGGTTAAATGTTTTCTATATAATAGTATAATGCACATTTAATCTAACTATACGTAATAAAATCACATGATATAATTTTATCACATATAGTCATAATTTTATTAAAATTGATAATATATTGCGTCAATAAGATCCGCTTGAAACTTGTGCAGTGCTGTATTAGCAAACGTAAGGAGATTAATTCATTTGTCTCAGTCAGTATTATATAATTATTATCTTCTACTTGAATAACTAACATTTCTTCATTATTCCATCATTTTCACATAGAATATATTACTGTGAAATATGATAATGCCGAAGTGATAAGCTAAAACAAGAATTCTTCTTTATAGTATTAGTAATTATTAATTTTATACAACTCACTTTAACATAAATCATCTAAATCATTTTATATGTATATCGGTTAAAATAGTAACATTTACAAATAATTATAAATGTTTATAAAACATTCATTACCGTAGAAAAGCCTTCAAGAGATGGAATAAAAACACCAGCAATATCCAATTTAAAATCTTTCACAGATCTTAACAGGAGCAGCAACAACTTTTGAATTGATAGCGGAGCTACATACCACAATGTAATATATCTACAAAAACGAAATGACATTTTAATTCTCTAGTGATTATTACTCGCATCACAGCTAGTTGCTTTGCAAAAATAATGTAATTTTTACATATTCTTTTTTGCAAAGCAACTGTGTGTTTTCTTTACACCAATAGATTCATCTCATTATTCTGTGCTATTAAAGATATCTCATTATTCTGTTCTATTAAAGATATAATTATCAAGAAATTAATAGTTAACGAGATATTTTACATTTCACGTTCAAATATTGCATAATAATAAAAGTATTAAATATCTCGTAAAATATTGATTTTTCGATAACTTTAATACTTATATAAGAATAATTGGAGAAATCATATTATTTAAAAAAAATCATTATTTTATTCAAAAAAAGTGAAGTAACTTTCATATCTTTTTAACTCCACCATCTAGAAAAAAAGCATCTTGACTAAAATACGTTCTTCTCAAAATCCTACACCTGAAACATTTTTTTTTAAAACCTCGCGATTTCCAAATATTTGCCTGTCAAATATAAAATGGGATACCCTGTATATACACAGTATAATTTATATTGAACTTTTGTAATACTTACACGGCTTTAAACATCTCTGCACTGTGATCGATAATTGCTTGTCCACAAAAGTTCGCCGTAAACATATGTATAAAGTGAGCCGCAAACAGGGTATACGATACAAATATTTCGGAAAAATCATCAAATCGAGTTAATGCATTAAGAAACTATGAAATATTATATTATATGAATAATGACTCAGTTATATCGCTGTGTATATAACATGTTCGGTGCATATAAATGTTTAAAAAAAGCATATTTTATTTCAAATTAACACATCCGAAGTACTATTTCCAAAATTTTTTTATTGAAGAATGTTTTAATGTCTTAAAGATAAACATGGTCTGTCCTAAAAGTAATGAGACTAATTTTGGTGCTAATCATAATTGTCGGAGAGTAGATCCATTGAACCGGACTTTTGATGCGGGATGTCAGGTATACATTCTGATCTTTCCCAGTTGCCACTGAGCCTTTCCAGCAGTAAAGTGCGTTGTAATTTTTGTCTTGTCACGGTCGAAAATTCAGCAGCGATCAAATTCTGCGTGAAACTGATTCCGAAACATTGGAGATGTTGGGAACAGCTTATGAGGTGCTGCTTTGTCTTCAGAATTTGATCGCGTAACGTTGCTCAAAACACAGCACAGTCTGAGCTGAATTTTTGTGACAAGATACAAAAATTACAATGCACTTTGCTGATGGTATCGACTGCTAGAAAGGCTCGGAGGCAACTGAGAAGGATCAGATATACCTAACATCCTGCACAAAGGTCCTGATCAATGAATCCACGCTCCGACAATTGTAATTGGCGCCAAAAAATAGTCTCATTACTTTTGGGACAGACCATGAATTAAAATAATTTCTGTATACTTCTGTTGCGTACATGTATATTTGTTGCGCATATATATATTAGTGGGCCCACTACGCAGTTCGATGCATTCCACGTCGCCGAGCGAAGCGGTAAGCAATTACGGCGGACAAACCATAAAGAAAACATCTTTTGAATAAATAGATTAATAGCCGAGTTTGGCGCCAGCCGTATCGCTCTACGTCGCGACCGACGTCTCGTTCGACATGTTTATTTAAACATAAAAAAAAAGAGAAAGCGGCAGGACAACCATGTGTCTCGCATAGACTCATGATTGGCCCACTGCTCACCGAGAGTTTCCCCGTATATAAGGGACAAGTCCCGATGGGCCTATTCAGATACGATTTTCACAGCGACATATAAG